TCATGGAAAATGACGATGGGTGACTGATTGGGTATGTCTTTGTATTATTTACATATGGGTAAAGAGAGGTAAAATTGTAATAATCGATTCTTCCACCAGGCTGCATTACATAGTAATGTATATATTCAGCCACCGAAAAGAGCATCTCGTGGTTTTAAACAATCAGGAAAGTCAAATTCTGCAAATTGTGAGTCGATTGCAAATGTTGCATTTTTTCCAATGATTTTTGAAGGACATATCTGAATCTAACATTAGATGAGTTAAGAGAATATGGAGGGAAAACACTTTTCACACCTGTGTTAAAAACAACCAAAAGCTTTATGTGTCTGACCGTCTTCACGGTAACTATCTACAAAATAGTTACCAAACCTGGCTTCACCAATGTTCAGCACATGTTGAATGGGTAGGTTTTGTTTGGCAGATGTGCTTGTGTGTGTTCATACCACTGTATAGAAGGTGTTGAGAAAGATTTCTGTCTGGTGATGTAATTATCAAGTAGTGGAATAGCTAAAGTGTTTTTAGGAAGGAACTTGGTTCTGAAGATTTTCATGCAGACAGGATCAATGTTTGTACTTTTCAGAGTTTCGTTTCTAAAAGTTAAACAGATCTTTCTCAAAATTTGAGTGTTGTTCACACATTTGGCCACCTCTTTCTTGAAATCAAAGACTTGGTCAGAAACCATTCTGTACCACTTGAAAAATTAGGCTCAGTATATGGTCCTACACAGTCCTGATGTTCTAAAGTGTTCCAGAAATGAGGAAAATAACCTTTTATTTTTTCTGAAAGTCCCATGGCTTTTTGGAGGCTACTCTGTAGTTCCATGGGTAAGAATTACAGGCTATCAATGTAGGACTGGTGAAACTCAGAATTGGTGAAACACAAAATTTGACCACCTTGGGCTAGGATACGATTTTTTCTTTCACTAAATGATTTAACAAAAGGAATGACTCTTACCCTCTAGCATTATGTGTGATAAATGTATAGCCTCTATATTTATTACGAAAAACACATCGACCCCTTTGACCACTTTGGTCACCCACACCTTTCTTTGAAAAGCAGTACAGCATAATAAGCTAGTTATATGCATTCCTATTTCCAGGCTTGTCTTGAAATCATAAAATACATTGTTTTCATCTGCTTGTTCTTCCTTAGCCAGCTGTATAAAACAATTATGCTCAGTATCTATTTTGACTTTTTCACCACAGAATTTGCACATGCTCTGAGAGCACAAATTTTTTTAGGATAAAAAGGGTTAAATGATATCACATAATTGCATTTAAAGCAATAGAAACCTGATTCGCTCATAGAATATTCACCATTGCTCGACTGAAGCTGTGCTTTATGCCTGTCAAAGCATTCTCTGACAAGCTGGACACCTCGATGCATTTTATGGTGTTTGTGACAATCACCGTGCCAAAAGTTGCATTTAAATTGATTATATGATTAAAATTTTACAGTTCAAATGTTTCTCAAAAGTGGATGGGTTATTTACAGATCAACCCACATCATGTTGGATCTACTGAGCGATTTGTTTAATTTGAAATTTTTTTTTTTTTAACATTGTTAACATTTTCAATTGAAGAAAAAGTCACTCCTCCTAAATTAGTGATATTTAATCTATCACAATGAATTATTCTAGTATTAGTATCTAACCCATTACTAGATTGTGCATTTTGGTTATTGAGATGGCAATGATGTCTATTTGCAGATGTTGGTTATTCGGAGATGTTTTGCTTTCCACACCAATATCTAACTGAAGATTTTGGCTAGCGGTGCACTGGTGTTATACTCTGCCGGTGGAATGGAAATCAATTTATCCAACATTTTCAATCAGTATATACAAAAGAATTATTTTATTGCTGCAAGTTCGTTATAAGTGTCGTAACTCTGTGTTTAGCTTCTAGTGAGCAAGGTGGTGGGAAAGGGGAGGGGTGTGAGTCCCCCTGCTGGGCAAACAATTCACGCCTCTCCACAATAACTATTGGTACAGAGATAAAACGGGCAGAAACAAAGGTTTTTTTGATCATAAAACACTGTTTATGACAGATACTACAAAACTTTCCTTAAACTTTTCACTTATGAAAAACACATCCACTTCCTATCCCCAAACAGGGTGGTGTGGGTCCAGGTAAAGAAAGCAAGAGACAGCATAACTTAAAAACGTAATATGTGTGTGCTTGTTTATTTGTTTCTAACCACGTGGACAAAAGAAAACGTGTTTGTACACGTCGTAAACATCTGTGGAACATCTTACTTCATGATTTCAATCAGAATGTGTGTGTGTGTGTCCAAATGATCCATCCCTTTTTGGAAATGGAAAATGACAGAAGAATGTTTTGTTTGTCATTTAACATCTGTTGGGGGAATGTGTGCTTGTATGTTTGTGTGTCTAATTGCAACAACTCCTTTGAGAGATGAAAAATGGTGAGGAAAAAATATTTTTTTACCATCTAGGTTTAAAACCACATTGAGATATTCAGTGGGATCCTATCATCATTATCCTTTGACATATACATAACATTCTTGATGAACTTTGACCTAGACTTGTCACATTCGTTTGATTTATGATCTTTGACTTTATAATAACAAAAGCCACACACACACAGACATATATACTGTGTGTGTCAGGTCCAGAAGTATTTAGACAATGATGGAGTTTTTGTGATTTTGCCTTTATACACCACTACAATGGATTTGAAATACAACAGTCAAGATGTGATCAAAGTGTAGAGTTTCAGCTTTATTTTAAGAGGTTCCACAAGACAACTAAAGTGGATGATCGCACAATCCTTTCCTTGATGAAGAAAAACCTCTTCATAACATCAACAGAAGTCAAGAATACTCTGGAGAAGGTAGGCGTATCATTGTCAAAATCTACAATCAAGAGACGCCTTCATGAATGTAAATACAGAGGGTTTACAACAAGGTGCAAACCACTGGTAACATTCAAGAAAGGGAAAGCCAGATTAGACTTTGCCAGAAACATCTAAAAAAGCCTCCCATATTCTGGAATAAGATTCTTTGGACTGATGAAACCAAGATTAACTTGTATCAGAATGATGGGTAGAGAAAAGTATGGCAAAAGAAAGGAACAGCTCATGATTCAAAGTATACCACATCATGTGTCAAACATGGTGGAGGCAGTGTTATGGCATGGGCATGTATGGCTGCCAATGGAACGGGCTCACTGGTGTTTATTGATGATGTGACTGCTGACAGAAGTAGCAAGATGAATTCTGAGGTGTATAGGGCTATACTCTTTGCTCACATTCAGCCAAATGCTACAAAACTGATAGGACACCGCTTCACAGTGCAGATGGATAATGACCCTAAACATAATGCAAAAGCAACTCAAGACTTTTTGAATTCAAAGAAATGGAATATTCTTCAAAGGCTAAGTCAGTTGCCTGATCTCAACCCAATAGAGCATGCTTTTCACTTACTGAAGACAAGACTGAAGGCAGAAAGACCCACAAACAAGCAGCAACTGAAGGTGGCTGCAGTGAAGGCCTGGCAAATCATCTCCAGGGAGCAAACTGCAAAGGATTTTCATCCAAGTATTAAAATTATGGTTATATTCACAATTATGTCACTTTGTCCGAGCCCTTTGAAAGTGGCTTTGAAAAGTGAACCTTTAAAAATGTCTGTAATTTCTAAATATATGTATATTCACACATAGTGGATATAAAAAGTCTACACACCCATGTTAAAATGGCAGGTTTTTATGAAATATTGATCAGAAGGTTGTGAGTTCAAGTCCTAGCACTGCCAAGCTGCTACTGTTTTACCCTTGAGCAAGGTCCTTAACCCTCAACTGCTCAGTTATATAAATGCAAGTCACTCTGGATAAGGGTGTCTGCCAAATACCATAACCATGGCACCCCAGGTGCCATTATAACCGGATAAACAAGGTTATGTTATTCACTTCACCTGTCACCTTGTTTTAATGTTATGCTTTAATGTAATGTGTATGTGTGTGTGTGTGTGTGTGTGT